TTTTAAGGTACTAAGAATCAAACTCAGGACCTTGTATCTGCCAGGCAGGCACTTGTGCCGCTGAGCTATATCCCCAGCCCCACAACCATCTGAATAAATCAAAGCTCTCCTAGATCAACTTCTTAAGCAGGGTATCTCTTCCAAATCTGGATACCTGAAATCAGACTACTATTTTCAGAGAATGTTAATAAATTAGAGCAGACCGCTCTAGTCTATACTCATCACAAGTATATTTGAAAGTTATTTTCATTTTCTCAGAAGTCATTTTATTGATTGATTGACTAATTGATTGACGGTCTTTTTGAGATAGGGTCTCACTATGCAGTTCAGGCTGGCCTAAAACTCATTTTGCAGCCCAGCCTAGGCTTGAATCACAGCGATCCTCCTGCCTCAGCCTCCCACGTGCTGGGGTTACAGGCATGCACCACCACACCTGGCTCTAGGAAGGCATTTTTAAAAAGCAGCGAGTTACAAATTTCTTGTGATGAGGGAAGAAAGGAAGGGAGGGAGCTAGAAAAGACAGGAAAAAATGAAAGACAGGGACAAAGATGAAAAAGGAGAATATGAAAGTAAATACCTCTCATTCTGGATTAAAATGATTCTTTGTAACAACTGTGGTCCTTTTAATACTATTTTAATCAAAAGCCACTGTGAATCTAATGGTAACCTTGAGACCTCTATTTTTAATGTTTATATGTATCACAGAAGAGCACACACAAAAAAATTTTTTTTGTACCAGGAATCAAACTGAGGACCTTGTGCTTGCCAGGCAGGTGCCTGTGCTGCTGAGCTATATCCCTGGCTGTATATAAGTTTTGACTATGGGTTCTAGAGCTTTGCTCAAGAGAACAAACTGCTTTTAAATTAGCTCTGGAGGCTGTGTTATGATTTGACCTGAATTCTCGCAGTAAGAATAGAGAAAAGCTGAACACAGACTGAGTCTATCTATTGTATTGTATTGCATTGCATTTTTGGTACCAGGAATCAAACTCAGGACCTTGCACTTGTCAAACCTTGTGCTGTGCCACTGAGCTATATCCCTGGCCCTGAGTCCATCTTTAAAGTCATGCAGAAAATCCATCTTTAAAGTCATAGTGATTGCCAGGGCACAGGAACCTGAACAACCTGCACTAGCACCAAGTCAGGATGCTCGGGTGCTGGAATGTTCTTCCTGGTCACACTGTAGAAAATATTGTGGCTTAAATATGCACTCCTGGCGCAGGCAGGGTGGAGAGCGGTGGAGTCCAGAACGCTGTGTATACCTTGGCGTTACCCAAGTCTGAACTTTAATCTGATTTATTACTTTTCTGACCTTGAACACATTAACATTTTTGAGTCTCACTCCTCATTGTCGAGATAAAGGTATTACTAACTACCCTGAAAAGAAGGGTCAAATATAAGGACTGAATAAAAATGAAAATTCCTTGTTTAGCAAATGACACACAGTAGACATCCAAATGCTCCCTCTCTTCAGCTTCTCTCTATAGGCTGGGGCTGAGGAAGATATGGAACTTTCTCCTAATATTTCATAAGTTTCTGTAATGTTTGCATGTGGAATAGATGCTTTATATAGAAAGAGACTTTAAGGACTAAGAAAGGGTGCTGGTGGCAATAAAGTAATACGTGCCACACAGCTGAGACTACTGAAGAGGGTATTACTAAGTTCACTCCTTGGTGGATTCTGGCGAAGGTCTGCCTATAACAGAAACACTGAACTAAACTCAGTCTCTTTCTCTAAAGTATGGTGGCTTTAATTTTCCACTGCTGCTCCAACAACTACAAGTGCAGTAACTTAAAGCATCTTTTTTTACTGTTCTGGAGGTCAGAGGGATGAAATGCTTTGTCTGGACCAATATGACCGTGTTGGCAGGGCCCCGCTCCCTCCCTCTGGTGGCCCTAAGAGAAAACCAGCTCTGCCCTCTCTAGCTCCTACAGTTGTGTTCCTGTTCCTCAGTCTTTGGCTCAGGGTTTCCTCACCATCTTCAAAGCTAGGAGCACAGTGTGTTCAAAGCTCTTCCTCGGCTTCTACTCTCACAACGCTGCCTTCTGCTGCCAAATTTTCCTCCACCACCTTATATGGACATGTGTGTACTTTTAAGACACAGATGGATTATCCAGGATAATCTGTATCTCAAAATCCTTAACTCGGTCACATCTGCAATGTCCCTTCTACCTAATGTTACAGGTTCTGGGGAGCTGGAGCTGGGTATCTTTGACGGCCATTATTCAGCCTACCACACTGGTTAGGAACATGAATTCTGGAGCCAGAGTGCCTGAACTTGAATCCCAGGGCCATCATTTACTGGTTGGATGATCATGGGCATATTATTTAACCTTGTTTCTTCGTCTGTTAAACAGGCCTAATAGGATCAACTGTATGGGGTTGTGATGGATTATGGGAGAAAAATAGCATCTACCTCAGAGGGCCAAGGGGGAATTACAAGTTAATACATGTAAGTCTTAGACCAATGCTTTGGAATACAGTAAATGCTATGTGAGTTTTAATTATTATGATTTCTATCACCACCTAAGTACTACTTTTATCATTATCATTCTGCTACTGTACCTCTCACAATGTTGGGTTCAATAGGGCTACTAACAACTACTGTATGACATTTTCTCTCAACATGAGAAGTCACCTTTACTGCCTGGAGTCCCAGTGCCAGCTGTGGATCTGGAAAAGCTTCCCCAGCAGCACTGCTGTTCATCAAGCAGTTGTCAAGATTTCGAGCTCCTGCTGCCACCTGACCAGGCCTCGGGCTAAGCAGCATCCATTCACATTAACAGGCTCCTTCCTAAGCATCCTTATTGTCCAGTGATAATTTAATATACGTAAATTTTACACCATTTTAACTTGTATGTCCAAGAACCTATAGAAGCACTGCTTACAGGCACAAAATGAGATTGGCAACACTTGTAAATTACACACAGCACACACAGC